ACATCGTATGTGGTATTTTCTCTCTGCTACTTCACATATAAGATCCAATGTTTTTACCATCATAAGCACTCTGAAAACTTCAAAACGTTTGCACAAGACATCTGTGTTGCTCATAGGTTCATCAGTTGCAGTTGTATTTTTCTTCCTAAGACACTGCTCCTATTTTGAGTTCAAAACCAAAAGATTTTAGACACTTGGTTTCCAGTCTCATCCAAAGCACAATATTCCTACTATTCTTATTCCACAGATTCAGCAATGACCTCAAAATACACAGTAAAACTTCCACCCCTTTACACATACCTATGTCTATGACATCTCTCAAATAGAAAGTACAGGAAGGCAGTGTGTTGAACTAAGCAAAATAAAGGCCCAAGCACCAAGGACCTTCTTGAACCAATTCCTTGCCCTAAAGCTGAATTACTGAGTGATGGTGAAGACTCTGTGTACACCAGTTTCTAAAGCTGTAAAATGGGAATAATCAGTTAATCTACTGGTTATAGCGCCAGGACACATACATATTTGTAAATGTTTTGAAGGTACTCAGATTAAATTAAACCTATAAAAAGGAGTTTCCTGTAATATTTATATTTTAATATATTTATACTTCACTTTGATTTCAAAGTAGACATTAACTTTCTAATTAGAAATCTCAGCATCTACCTAATAATGTCAAGAATAATGCTGCGTACAGAGCAGTTTTAAACTACAGGTCTCAAAGCATTTTATCTAAGACAATATTGTTGTATTAATCTTACAGACATGGAAACTGCAGCACAGGAAGAAATTAGTTGCTGCCACTCAGCAGCCAGAGATTGTGTCTGGTCAGTGCCCCAGTTATAAGAACTATCTGCCCAAGAAAAATAATTGCAACATTTTTTTTTTTTCAGAGCTTATTAATTTTGTTTATTTCTCAAGAACCTTGTGAAATAGCCTACGCATTCGTGAGATAGCCACTGTGTTCAGGTACCAGTATGGCAGTACAAGTACGAACTCAGAGCAGACAGGTGACTAAAGATCAGTCATTTAAGCTTGTACTATTTACCTTGTGTTTTCTTCATATTCAGTGGAGGAAAAAAAGGGTACTTCTGGAGGGATGGTTTAGTTCACCCTAAAATAAATACCTAATGCAGGCTAGGTGGAGGTGCTTGATTCTTTTCACTGATTCTAAAAGAAATGCAGAGTGATAAGCTCAGACATGTACAAGTAGCTCTCAAACATTTTAAGCTACGAGAGTAGTCCTTGTAAACTCATAGCACAAAGGGAAAACTGCTACTGATTTTTAGCCAATACATATGTAGCTACTTTTTCTCCAACTTTATACTTTTGCAGGTTATTTGGGGGAAAACTTTCCAATCAGGTGTTCATTTAATCAGTTGCCCTCTTAGCTATTTACTTTATTTATTATCAGCCAATGAGACAAAAAAATTGTCAGTCACCAGAGCTGCACCTGCCTCCTAGATTTGCAAGGAGTTTGTTTTCCATACACCTTCCACACTCCCCAAACCTGTTACCCTTCCACAGCACAGCAGCTGAGATCAGCTCCGGTCTCTTACCTGCATCAAGGGATGCTCAGCAGTACTGATGTCAGAGTGAGCACAATTCTGTCTCATCATTTGTCTGACAAAAATCACCATTATTTCATTTTCAGGTCATGCTGATAAAGACACCTTTTCACTCAAACTTTACTAAAAGCTGAGGAAAAGCAAAAAACGGTTTTTATCATATGGAATGTTGCATTTGTTGAGGGGTGCAACATCTTAAATTTTGTACAGTATTTAGAATAGAATATTTAATTTTTATTCTGTTTTCCTCTTAAGTCCTTAGTTTGCTGAGTTCCATTACATGAAGGAATTATTACCAGTACATAAGTATTCATTTAAAAAAAAAAAAAAACAAACCCCAACGTTAATTTTAGAATGTACTTCAAAACTTTCCATTCCTCAGGACAGATTCCCCCTATTTCTAATACATATTGCTTCGATAACAATGTCATTTTCAATTATAATATTTTTCTGGTGTTGACAGAGGAAAGAAAGGAGCAGCCACATGTCATATTTGTGTGGCACTACGCCAGCTACATCTCAGGAGACCTAAATCCAGTTCTCGATTTACCGCACATAATGACTAAGGAAGATAACTTGGATGTCCTTCACCCAGCCCTCCCACTTACACATGCAAAACAAAACAAACACACAAAGGGTTGCAATGACAAAAGTCAAGATTCGCTTCTGCACCAAAACATGTTCCTTACATGGAAAGGACCAGGAAATACAGCACTTGATGCTCTAGGAGGTTAAGCGCCTCAGCTTTACTATAATTAAAAGCGAATAGCCGTAAAAGTGCAGATACTACTGTAGGGTAATAAACCAGACTTTATCAGTGACAGTGGTGCACATTACAAACTTCAAACTCATTCCTTGCTCTAATCCATCAGAAACTTCCTGGCTTTAACAGGCTATAAACAGCAGAAGCTTTGAAGTCCAAGGATTAGGATCACTAATAGACAGACTGAACAAGAGACTGGCTGAAGAGCCAAGTAGAATGCCCTGCACGGATCTGGAATAAAAGTTAATTTAATCAAACTGATCTCTCTCTAGCCATAGACCAAAAGATTACAATGGTTACAACAGCAATAGAGAGACAAGGGACATTAGAAACAAATAGTTATTTGTTCCAATGTGATGCTTAGGCTAAAGTAAGGACAAAACTGCCTATGCTTTCAACTGTGCTCTCAAATCCACAATTTTAAGCTCTACAGGCAAAAGCTTTTTTTTTTTTTTTAAAAAAAACTAGTTTATGTCTTAGTGGTAATCGAGGTAGAAAAAATTAAACACACTTTAATTTTCAAGAATTTCTAAATACAAGATTAGTAGAATGATTTAACAAAAAAGATAATTCTAATGATTTATTTGCTTTGACTCTCCTGTATATCAGACTCACTCAAGGGAAATGTGGAAATAATCCATTTGGGTTAAGTCCACCTGCATTCAGTGCTCACATAACTGAACATAACACTAAGCAGCTTTGCTTTTAGAAAAAACCTTCTTGCTGCAAAAATTCCAGTTATCATCAATTTATATGCAACACTTCTCACGCTAAAGGACTGCAAAACATTTAATAAACCACTAAAGTTGAGGTGTTCAGCACAGCAGTATTACAGAACACTTTTTAAAGCAAACAATAAAGCTACTCAGCTTTAAACTGGAGCAAGCTGCCAAAATGGCAAATGAGCCAAGTGAATGGTAGCAATAGCTTGGCTCTGAGAATTGTTAGAAGATGGTAAATTGAGACAAGTGGTCAGGGATTAATTTTTACGTTGTCTCTTGCTGCTATGCATAATAGCTAACTTTGAAGAGTGGAAAACAGCAGCAGCTGAAGCCTCTGAAAAGAGCATTACAAAGCGAGGAGTCCTAACGGCATGCTTCATTCACTACAGAAGACAGAAGAATCCACAAGGTTGTGTACCACCAAATACCACATTTTTTTGAAAATGTATTCCTAGAAGGCAAAGTTTCTTCTACCACAAATCACCACATTTTCAGACGAGAATGACAGATTCCTATGTACAGCACACAGGGAAACAAACTCATTTACAGCTACTCTATCTACAGCATTTAAATCAAGAACGAGAAGATAAAGCTTTAACTGCCCAGAACAATGCTCAGGATTTTAGTATTAGGAACTTGGAAGAAGCTCATCCTAGGAAGCAATACGCATGGAAATAAAATGAGCAGTGTTGGAGCAGCTGCCTGGCACTGGAGAGGATTACCACAGGCCAAGCCTAGCTACCTTCCTTTACATGGGGCAACACCTCTGGCTCTCCCATTTAGTCCATGGTCATTTCGCAAAGGAATTCACCAATGTCAGGATCTATGCTTCCAGCTGAGGACCCGGGAGAAGAGTAAGAGCAGCATGGTCTTGTGAAGCAGACAGCCCATGGCTGGGGAAAAAAGGGAGCTGGTGGGAGACACAGCAGCCACGGCACATGCAGTGGTGTTATATGGAAGGAGACAGAGAAACATGGGATTAGGATCGTGGGATTGAAGACATAGGCAGCAAGCTGTAAGGACTGGGCAGCCTGAAACTGAGGTCCTGGCACAAGGGGATACAGTGCCAGCATTCCAGGCCAGCAGACACCCATGCCAGCAAAATACACCCCAGCTACTGAAAATTAAACAAATTAATTCAGAGATTTACAGCACTGAGCTCGCACTGTAGTCATTAACATACATTTGAAACCAAATCTTCTTCCAAAAATCTAAAAAATTTAAATAATTTAGGAAAAGGTCTGAGAACGTGCAGTCATTTTACAACAACCATGAACTAAAAAAATTTAAAATATCATGCAGACTTCACCTGACTCACTCAAAGAGCAACATAGGATCACGTGTTGGAAACAGAAGCATTTAAAAAAAAGGCACATATGTCTTGTCTTACTGGGCTAGGTAGATGTTCCCATGCCACCAGAATATCTTGTGAAAACTTCTTTTCAGACACCCAAAATGTCCCAAGTTTTCGTTTCATCAGTCAAAATATTCACTTATTTTATAGCTCCAAGCATTCAAAGTACTTTGCTGCTTTGAACCACATTTGCCCTAGAAAACAGTCTAGCAGAAGTAGTATTCACTGTGATGAGACAGTGCCTAGAGAGAAATAAAACCAAGCACTTAACAAATCAAAGATGGGTCTCTCCCTACCACTCCACAAATAAAGGACAGAAATGTTTCTGTAACTACTGCATCTTGTTACCTTTGATTCAGAAGTTAGCAGCACAACCGCTGGTATGCTTTTTTCTTTTAATCTACTTTGGCTTTTCTCATTTCACTCTCAAAAATATTGCTACCAAAAAAACCCCCAAATTTATTACTTTGGAAATAACCATAAAATACTTTTTGAAGACATACTAATGAAGTAGAAAAGAAGTCATTCTGTAACAGGTGCAAGTAGGCACGGTACCCCCAGTTTTACCCTCCTCCACCACACCTACCATGGGGTCTTACCTTCTGGTGGATTCTTATTCTGGTTGTTCCAGACAACTAGCAATTTGGATAGACTAGGCACTTTAGACACCTCCGTGATGACTCGGAAAAGGCTCTCCACCCGGTCATAGGTCAAAACTATGGCTGTGAAACCCTGGGACTGAGGTGGGATCAGTGGCAGGAAGAGTGGATTGCTCACACTGCTCCATTTCTGTGAAGGAAAACAAGAAAACAGGAAAACAATTTTATTAAAATGAGTTATCACAGTAGGGAGTAATTATTACAGTAGGGAGTAATTCACATAGCCAGGACCTAACCATCAGATTTGGAATTTGCTCAGTTCAGGCAGGTTGACTCTCCAATTCTAGCAACAGTGGATTTCAGCAATTTCTCAAAACCTTTATTCCATCCTCTTTCTTATTTCAATTTTCATTTTTGCCTAGCTGTAATGTTGCAAACAAGGGGGTTTAGGTAAAAAATAAAGTCGAAGAGGCAGATAGATTCGTGGAGAAGTAGAACCAAGGTGAATTTTTGAACCCAGCTAGCATGACTCAATTATCATTTACTAATCATTATGTCAAGACATTTATATTTACAGTCAGGACTCAATAAAGAAAGAGAAACTTAATTAGCACAATTTAAAAAATGAAATCGTTAACAACACCACCACCACCAAAGCAGCAAAAACATAAGCCTGCATAAAATGTGTACGCAAGCAAAAAAAGGCAAAAGCAGATACTAAGAGGAGTAATATAGCTTCCATAAAACTGTGTTTGTTCAAGGCTGAAAAAAACCACCTATTGCATTAAAAAAAAAAAAAAGGCATGGATGCAAAGATGAATTTTAGAGAGTTATCTACTCCTCATGAATTTTAACTAGGGCATCCCTTTTAAGACTTTAAAGGTCTTGCTTCAATACACTGCCAGCATAAGGAAGCCAGCTCAGCTGGCAAAAGACAAGACAGACAACTAAATTCTCACTGAATGTGCCAACCTCCTTTGGAGCTCACAACGTGGGGGAAGCAGCAGTGAAGGGACCATTCGACAGGAATGAAAGCGCCAGCATTTCAGTCTCAACTTTTCCATTCCAGCTGATGTTCCAAGCAGGGGTCGGACAGAGAAGCAAAGGGAAAAATAAGACCTTTTGGGACGAGGTGAAAAGGGGAGTTGGGAAAGCAGAAACTGAGTGATGCTGTTTTGCAGGGAAGTCTTGAATCCTAGCCTGTAAAAACTCTGAACACTCATAAGAGGTTAGTAGCTGCCAGCAGTTTACAGAAATACTGTGAGAATCTCCAGCGAAACCTCACACCATAAGCCTGTTTGTATCAGGAGGAAAGCAAGTTTTACAGACTCAAAAGTTATCAGCTCATATTTGCAGGAAATAAACTTCGCAATTTTCCATTTCCTTATTTAATCTTTGGGTAACTTTACATACCCAACAATCACTCTCCTCATGTTTAGTGGTTAGACACCTCTAATTAGAATAACTTCAAGGACGAGGAGAATGGAGAGCCTATTTACTAAAAGGGATCATAACATTATGGCCATTTTGGCAAAGGGGATAAAAATGTGATGTGAATATGATTTCCTTGTACAAACACATCAACACTGAAGGGGGGATAAATACACGAGGTGAAAAAGATACACAGAGTTAAGCACAGCATTGGCACACTGATTTATCCAGGATGGTCTAAGGGTATGTTCCAGGCAGGGATCTCTCAATAGGAGTAACACCCTTTAATAACTTGATGAAATAGTTGGAAAGATGGACTAGTCTTCAGCTACACATACTTTATCGAGTCTGGTACAAGTAGCATTCAACATAAACTGTTTGTGAGGCTCCTAGTGGAAAGTATGAAGTTCTAGTTTTTACTCAACAGGAGTAATAGGATAATATAGAAATAGTAACAACATAATATGGAACTTCTGTTCATGAAAGGGACAGGGCTACCTGTGATAGCAGAGGACTACACTCTGTAATTCAGAAAATACGTATCCATTACTTTAGCAACTGATAAGTGCAGAGACAAATCTGCTCTCAGATTATTACATTTTCTAAAATTAAAGCTTTTATACATAATTTTGCTAATTTTACAAGATGACTGGTGACAGATAGGGACAGCCCTCTGATTTTGCTGCAGCTTCAATAGTTCCTACAGCAAATCACAATCTAAATGTTACCAGAGCATAATCCATCTCATTAAAGCTTTCCAGACTTGTTTCCACACAACCCCCACTCCAAGACTGCTATTACCCAAATGACCCTTGTAACGTTGAGCAGCTTCTTAAAACAACTTTCAGAAACCTCTTTTCATTAATACTTGAAGCAGAGGTTTAATATCATACTCAGTAAAGTGCCAAGAAAATCTTATGTGTCTGCACTACAAGAAGAAATAACTGGTACAGTAATCTATGGACAATGCTGTATTTACTACTTATGGGTGAGTATTGCCACCTAAATTAATGGCTCCCACTTGAAGTTTATCTAGCAACTTTTTCGCTCTGGCCACAGAATTTCCTGACAAATTACTTGCTATAATATCCTTGCAAAAGGATTACTCCTTTTCTATCATCTAAGACTATTTTAGGTACTTATAGAAAAAAATACAGATGTATGTGTGCAAGCACATGTATACGTGCCTAAAAAATTATCAGGCTTTCTCTTAAAAACCTAAGTTTTAGGTACATGACTTAACCAACTTTTACTGCTTTCAGAAAGGCATGAAAATTCTCCCCTGCTGGTTATAACTTAGGAAAAATAAAGCAACTTTTGAGGTAATTTTGCTCATGTATCTACTTAAGGATGATGGAGGGAGAGAAAAACCTGTAGACACTCACTAATGGACGGGAGAACCAAGCCTCTCATTTGAGAAAAAACATTTCAAAAAGGCAATTAAGCATCTCTCAAGTGCCATTAAAAGCCAACCCCCTGCTGCCTGCCTGAAGAGTGTGTCTACAGTCTGAGACCTATTGACCCCACTTTCTGCAGGAAATCGGGCAAATCCAAGGCTCCATAATTTGCTAAAGTCTTCCAGATTTCTGCTTGGGAAAAGCAAACCATACAGGCAATTAATTCAACAGCAACCTAATTAAATCTCCATTATGGCAGCAAAGCATGAAATGGATAATGACATAGGGATGGATTCTCCCAGTCACTGCTCAAGAAACCAAGTGGTGAAGGAACATGTGCTCCAAGTCCCATCTTTACTAACATTCTTGACGGAAATTCACAGGAACTTTCACTCTCGGAGAGAAGAGCAAACAGCAACAGTGCATTGATCATCCATCACCTTTCTTTGACAAAGTGCTGACACTCAGCTATGGATAAGACAACAATTCACTCTTGCCCTCCCGGTTAATATCATTAGAGGAGGCAGGATAATTAATCTAAGATTAATAGGTTGTTTGCTGTGAATCATTTTAATGGGCAAAAAGGATCAAGTTCAAATGCTAGTTTCCTAAGAGTAATCTTATGTCACTTAGGTCTCACAGTCTCAGTTGTCTGACAGCTCTTTGCAGTTCACATGAAAAGCCAAAGTAGTGGGACCTGAATGACAGTGAGAACTTAGGGATAGCCTGAAGCTGAGGAGAGGGAAGAATTCAAGAATGGGTATGTATACAGGGAAGGATTCAGACTGCTGCAGCTGTTCTGTGCATGCTTTCCACAAGTGTTCATGTGTAGTAATGCCTTAGAAATAAGGCACCTTCCTTCACTATAGATACATCAAATGTTGTTCTCCCTCTTGGTTATTAAAATAAACTTGATTCCATTTTAGGAAAAGTTAATACATTAAGGACAAGGTATCAAGGGATTTGAATTCTCATTATGTGGGATGCTTAAGGTTGGACTCTATGTGGAGTCTTCAGGTTCAAGTTAGCAGAGAAGTTTTAAACAGATGGTTTAAACAAGACAGGATAGAGAAGTGAGATGGATGGGAGCTTCAGGACATCAGTGAACACAAGTGGACTGAGAACTGGCCAACCATTATAAATGCTACAGAGCCTCAAAGGATCGGCAAAATACCAGATATAACTAAGACAGGGTCCTACCTCAAAACTTACTTGTGTGTACACTGAGTACCATTGAAAGACACTTGAAGAAAGACACAGCAGACACATTACAAACTGCATCACAGAATGGTCTCTAGGAAAACAAGGCTGTGTGAGATATCCCATATTACAGAAGAGAGTCAAGAACTCTCCAGCTATCACTCAGTGGGAAAAGTCAGCAACTTTAGAAGAATAAAATTTCACTGCTCCCATGAACAAGACCATGGGCTTTCCTGCCTGTGTTATTTTCAAAAACTAGACTCAGTGCTTGTTGTAACCAACATATTAGTGAAACCACACAGTTTGAACAACAGCAACTCACTGACTTTTAAAAGCACAGAGGTAAGGACAACAGTGTATTGAACTTAAACAGTAGCTTAGCAGTTCTTCTACACATGTAAGCAAAGCAGGAATATATATCCCCTGCCTCTGTGGGTAAGGCTTTTTCAGCTGGGTTGTTCTGAATATCAATCTAACCTCAATGTGGTTTCAATTATGAATTACCAGACCAAAAAGAGCCTTGATTTATTCTATTGCTCCAATTATTCATGGTAAGTTTCTATTGAATACTTTGAGAAAGTATTTCATCATGCTTCCCATCCTCAAGTGGTCATAGGGCAAAACACAAGGAATTAACCCTCTCTACTTCTCCAGAGCCAACCAAAGTGCTTACACTCTGCAGAATCACAAGTCAAGTTGCAGTGGCCACCATTTCATGTTTTGATGAAGATTATAAACCCTCCTCAAAAACATTTTAGCCACAAGACACACAGGAGTTTCTACCTATTCCTTCTTGAGTGATGAAATCTGATACTGTCATGAATCATGAATTTTGATTGTCAAAATACATCACGTAACTGTAACACTAAGTTATTAAGCACCTTTTTTTTTTTTGTTTAGCCGTTTAAATCTAATCAGCTGTCTGAGCCCTTCGGAGAGTATCTATTGGCTGAACACATTCTTTGATATAAAAACTCAGCTTCAGGCTCATCTCTTCAACTCCTTAATTTCAACAATGTGTCGAAGGAATAGATTTGCAGTGAGAAGAGAATTATCACAGACTGAGTTCATATTTACAGTTACCATAATACTTCTGCTTTTTGGAAGCCCTCCATCAATTTTATTGCAATTCTTTTGTAAGAATAATAAGAATATTATAACC